TCATTTATAGATTTAGCCATCACAGATAAACTACCCTGCACATAGTTGATGCTCGACTCCGTGAGAGCGTCTCACTGCACCTTCTTGGCCCCACGTCTTCAACTGACTTGAGGTGGGGCAACAACATTGAATCAATAGCTGCATCTACTGCAAGGCAAGTTGGTTCACTGTATCGTACCAGAAGGTTTTTCAATCAGAGTCCATCTTACACATCTACAAATCTATCATTTGTCCGTTGTTACCACATCTGGTCTGGTGCCCCTGCCGTTCATTTCGACGTTCTCGACAAAATCCAAAGAAGAATCTACAATATAATCTTTCCAGATTCAGTCACTTTTTCACAGACGTGATGTGGCTTCCCTCTATCTTTTCTACAAATATTTTCTGAAAAGCTTTTTTCCCTTGGTGCCCCAACTACATAAATCTAAGCGTGCTGCTAGATTGGCATTTAGGTCCCACCAATTTACTGTCGAAATAGTTAAATGTAATCGCCACTTCTACTGCAAATGTTTCTTTTCTCATACTTCCTGGCTGTTTAACTCTCCTCCTCTTACTTGCTTCCCTGAAAAATTTAAATGCAACGTCATTCACCATCTTCTTTTGCCTTGATACTCGTTCTTCTTTTATCCTTTCCTCGGCCCCCAATCTTTATTCTCACTTTCACTCTCAGTAAACTCCTGTGTGCTAATGGCACACCGGCCTTTCTTGGAGTGAAATACTTAAAAAAAAAAAAAAAGACACAGGAAAGCCACATTACGACAGCGAAGCCCAGATGCCAGGTCAGGACGAGTAACATTGCTGATTATTCTTTGAATTTTATCAAGAATCAATGAATATATAGCAGAAGCACCGGACTGTGGCTGTAATGTTGGACGCATGGTAGACTTATACATATGTCAGATAAATTCCGGAAATAAAAATTGTCTAGCACGACTCAGTGAACCAACTTTCTTAGCAGCAGACCTAGCAATGGATTCAATATAATCTTTGCAATTCATATCCTTTTTTTTATTTTCGTAGCCTGTTAGCGGTTATAATGTTATGTTAGGCTTGGGCTGCAGGCCGTGATGTCATTAGAAATTCTCCTCGACGGACTCCAACGGACTGGTATTTACCTGTCGCATCACTGCGGACTAGATGCAACATAAGGTCAAGTTTACCGTGGGGAACCGGAGTGTTTCCACCGGGGCCACTGGTCAAAATTTACCCAGCCCCCGCCAAAGCGTGCTCGTGTATAGAACTGATTTGTTTTTTCTCAGCCGAGTCTGTATCCGAAGACAGAGCTCGACTGAGTCATCCTCCGCCCGAAGACAGAGGTCTTGTCTTGTCGCGAGCCAGATTGTCTAACTCCAATGGACTTCCTTGACTGACTTTAAGTTCTTTATTTAAGGCGTCTTACTTAGTTCATTTGTGTTACCGTGGGTGTCTTCTTTACTCTATAACATAACCGAAACGTAAATTAAGTAATTTTTTAAGTAATTAATGGACATGTTTTTTTTATTTCGTATTACTATTATTAATTATGAAAATTATTACTTAATAATTAATAAATTATTTCTTATTACTAAATAATTATTTGAATTGCTTACACGTGTTTGAGGAGACACACGTGTTTCTTTTCACAAAAAAGTGAAATTGATATCTACCAACGTCGAATCTGCCCCTATATATATATATATATATATATATATATATATATATATATATATATATATATATATATATATATGAATGTATGTATATATATTATAGCTGGTCACTTGTATTCGAGGATATCCGTCTACTAGGGCAGCTAGCCAATGCGCTCGCTCAGACACACACAGAGCCCAACTGTGGTCTATTCTGCAACTATGCTGAGCAGACCTTAGTTACAGTTTCTGGGAGAGAGCATGTTATCTAACGTGATCAACAATTTAAATAAGGCCAGCACACTCAAACCCTCGGTCACGATGACTTGTGACTTCGTGCTAGCACAGCTATCCACGGCCCACATTGGGTCAACCCGTGGTATGGTTTTCAGGCATTTTCCAAAAGGTGCTGCATGCAGGGATCGAACCCTCCAGTCCGATAACATCAGGAAGTCTCCTTCTTGACAAATCAACCATGGTGAGATTCGAAACCGGGTCTTATGATCAGTAAGCGATCGTTCTTAGCAGTCGGTATTGATATATATATATATATATATATATATATATATATATATATATATATAATTATTATTTATAAAAAAATTATAACATAAGTATGTTATAAAATCACTACAAAAAATAGCCATTTTGTTTCAACACACTCTATGTCTTATCAAGTGATGATGTTGAAAATAAAATAAATGGTTTAAAAAAAAATATGGATATATATATATATATATGTGTGTGTGTGTGTGTGTGCCTGACTATTGCGTTTAGCATGAAACAGCCTGTCGCCTTTGAGTGTTGACTTGATGTTCACTTTTATATTTATATTTACATACGCTCTATCTCTGATATTGAGCACTTTATCCCATAAATATAGCACACCTTAAAAATATGGTGTATCAAAAACCCTTTTACAAACTTTGGGAGCGAGCCCCTCACACCAAATCAAGGCCAAAAGTTCATATAAACATATGTCCCCAAATCCTTCGTTTTGAGTAATTAAGTTTCATTTTTACGGTAGAGGCTTTTAAATGTACAATTCAAGATTCAAACCAAATATACTTTTACAAACTTTGAGGGTGGGGGTGCCTAATTCTACCGTAAACTTTCTTTAGCCTGAATAACTCAAATAATGTTTAACTATGCGAACATTACGATAAACTAATATATTTTCAATATATGTATAAGTAATGTTTAGTATACACCCAGCACCAAAAGATTGCGTTTGGCATGAAAGTCCGCGTCGTGTGAATGGTCTGGAATAATATGTATATTTATTAATATAGAAACTTTAAAGCTCTTTTATATACACTATTTCTATAACACTAGCACTTTATATGCAATTCATATATATATATATATATATATATATATATATATATATATATATATATATATATATATATATATATATGGGTTTTCTTTTGAACGGGACTTTCTTTTCCTCGCTGCAGCCTAGGCTCTTTTGATTGCAACCTGGTCCTCTGTTGGCAGAGATTTCTTTTTTACAATGCATACTGCTGCGATAGGCAACCATAAACTACAGAAAAACTCAAAATTGATCGCTGCATTTAAGTATTGCATTGATATTTAAGCTTACCTTTTAAAAGTTCAACGATAATTCATTCTCCTGCTTCCACTTAATTTAAAGACAATTTGATGTACTTACGTCCTTATTTTCCGTACAAACCATTATTTTTTATTATTATTTTATGTTTGACTTTCGCTGGATTTTGCAATTAATTTCGATTATTCCCAAATTTATTTCAAAGTTATAAGAATTGTTATCGTACAAAAAAAATAAATAAATAAATAGATAGATAATGTCGCAAACAATCACGTAAAAAAAAATAGCAGTAATGAAAAGTTATCTCTGTTTAATTGAAAAAGTGTGACACAGTGACACACTAATATTCGCATTATATATATATATATATATTGTTTATAGGTCATTTTTATAGATACAAATATTTAAGTAAATGCTCTATTTATAATAAACAATATTAACATTTAACAGGGCATTTACTTAAATATTTGCAGCTATAAAAATAACATATAAACAATAAATATATTAAAATAATTGTAGGATTTAGTCCATTTTATAATCTCTCTCTCTCTCTCTTTCTCTCTCTCTCTCTCTCTCTCTCTCTCTCTCTCTCTCATACATACATACATACATATATATATATATATATATATATATATATATATATATATATATATATATATATATATAAAAAAATTTAAACACTAATATTCCATGGAATATTAGTGTTTTAAAAAAATTTTATTATATTCATACTCTGTCCTGGATATTGAGTTCTACCTGGATTCTATCCTCTTGAAATTTATACATATATATATATATATGTGTGTGTGTATATATATATATATATATATATATATATATATATATATATATATATATATATATAGTACGTGATTGAGAAGTAACTCCCCATGTTAAAATACTTATAATTTATATATTAAATATAATTTTGACAAGAAATGGATATAAGAGGAAAGCATCATGAGGTTTTATTTAAATTCGATATGGGCACCAGATTTCTCTTCGAGATTCTCGATGATAAAAGGAATCTCGACATCTGATTTCACCAGGAACTCTTATGGTATGGAAGACATAAGTTCTTGTACTCGCCCTTCAAGTTCTTCCAAAGTCTTGGTTTGGCATAGCAGACTTGCTCCTTTAACTAACCCCAAAGAAAAATGTCACAGGGTGTTAAGTCAGGACTCCTGGCTGGCCACTCAGACATTAAAATAGGGAGTTTTTCAATCACTTTGTATATATAAACTTAATAATATACATATAATTAAAAAATATAAGCACATAAACCCGTGTGTAACTTTTCAAGCAAAAGAAATAAATGCTAGCAGATGTTTTAAACAGAAAGACGAGTGATATTAGCATAGAAAAAACATTGTATTGTGGTGGGGGGACGTTTTTCGTCTCACACGTTGAAGAACGCGTGCGAGTGAGTGCCTCCTCCTGCACATGCATTCAGTATATGCAACTATTTGCAGGCGTTTGTATTCCTGTCTCCGTGTGTCGACATAGGCATCAACACGTGAGAATTACCTGCGTGTACGATGCAAGCGGAAGTCGTGTGTAAAAGAAACTAGCAGATTCCGTCGCATTATAGCAGGAAGAACAGGAACTTCTCTTCCGGTGAGTGGGTTATTATGATAGGTTCTCTCTAACTCGTCTCAGTGTCCGGTGACAGCCCACAGCTGGAGCCAATGGAGTGTGGGTAAGGAAGCCGCATAAAAAAAGGAGACTTTCGTTGTCGACTGTTGAGGTTAACGGCCAGTTTAAGCGCTGTTTTTTAAATGGTAGGCTTTAAGCGGTCAAACAGAAAGCGGGGAGGCTGAAACAGTTATTAATGGAAGGATGTATAGAGATTGACTGCTGAATGTTTCACCGGAAGTAAGTACACGCGGTAGGCTGATATCTAGCCGGACAGACCAGCTGCTGTGAGACTCGTTGGCTGCTGTCTGGATGTATGTCTGGAGGGAGAGAGGTTGACTAAAAAACACATTTGTCCGCTTTAGATGATGATTGAAATATGGAATGAGCGGGAGAAAGAAAGAAAGAAAGAAAGAAAGATGTTGATTGAAATATGGAATGAGCGGGAAAAAGAAAGAAAGAAAGAAAGAAAGATGTTCATTGAAATATGGAATGAGCGGGAAAAAGAAAAAAAGAAAGAAAGAAAGAAAGAAAGAAAGATGCTGATTGAAATATGGAATGAGCGGGAGAAAGAAAGAAAGAAAGAAAGAAAGAAAGAAAGAAAGAAAGAAAGAAAGAAAGAAAGAAAGGAGGTAAAGATTGAAATATAAAAAGAAAGAAAGAATTTAGAAATTGAAAGAGTAATTTATAAAAATAGAAAAATTAATAACAAGCGAAAGACAGAAAAGTGACAGATGTTGGGGGTAAAAGAATGAAATAAAAAAAGAACGAAATAAGAAAGAAAGAAAGAGAGAGAAAAGAGAGAAAGAAAGAAATGAGGAGTTGAAAGAATAATTTATAAAAAGTGAAAAATGAACAAACGAAAGACAGAAAAGAGATAGATCAACGCGGCGAATGAAAAATATATAAAAAGAACGAAAGAAAAAATAAGAAAGAAAAAAATGAAAGAAAAAAATGAAAGAAAGAAAGAACCAGTGATAAAGAACATCAACTGTAATATGATACAGCGTCACAAAGAAAGAAAGAAAGAAAGAAAGAATGAAATCCGTTTATCAACAAAGGAAAATTGTTTAGAATGAATTTCCTTTGAGAATGAAAGACGAACGGAGTTGCCGTACAAAGTGTAGGTCGGAAGAATATTATATATATATATATATATATATATATATATATATATATTATTTTACACAAGTTCAAAAGAAAATACGATAGTGGATATTAAACTGGAGCGTGTTTGTTTATAAAAGCGCTTATCAGTCAACTCTCCACATATATTCTTGGCACAAAAAATATTCGCTTAAATAAGAGAAAAAGTGTACGTTATTTTTCATTACTCACCAAATCAGACGAGAAGAAATATTAGTAATTCTAACGTTTTGACGAATTGCATGATGTCTGAAGCCGTCATTATTTTTGCTCACAGACGCACAACGTCGTAATGAAGGATCAGATCTTGGGTTATATTTTTACGGTAGGGGGAGGGCCCTAAATAACGTGCATGTCTGTTTATTTTAACAGCTGCGGACGGCTAATAACATTGCCAACACTCTTTCTCATTCAACCATCGTTTGTCGTTTAAGAGATTACTGGTGGACCCGTGTCGTCAAAAATAGCGGCAATTGTTAGAAGATTTTAATAGTGTGATGTCTTCAAACAGTGTATTGACATTTAATGGTGGTGGTGTATGGTATGGTCGCAATATGATCCTCCGAAAATTACGTTGTGAAAACTTTCTAATAATAATAATAATGACTGAACAATATATGTCATAAAATATGGATAAGCTAGTATTAAGACAAGGTTCTACTGTACATAAAGTGGGAGATCAATTTTCTAATGTTATCAAGTAACAAAATGAACCTTTTAGAATTACGATATGAAAGCTTCATAATAATAATAATAATAATAATAATGACTGAACAATATATGTCATAAAATATGGATAAGCTAGTATTAAGACAAGGTTCTACTGTACATAAAGTGGGAGATCAATTTTCTAATGTTATCAAGTAACAAAATGAACCTTTTAGAATTACGATGTGAAAGCTTCATAATAATAATAATAATAATGACTGAACAATATATGTCATAAAATATAGATAAGCCAGTATTAAGACAAGGTTCTACTGTACATAAAGTGGGAGAGCAATTTTCTAATGTTATCAAGTAACAAAATGAACCTTTTAGAATTACGATGTGAAAGCTTCATAATAATAATAATAATAATGACTGAACAATATATGTCATAAAATATAGATAAGCCAGTATTAAGACAAGGTTCTACTGTACATAAAGTAGGAGAGCAATTTTCTAATGTTATCAAGTAACAAAATGAAGCTTTTAAATTACGATGTAAATTTTCATAATAATAATAATAATAATGACTGAACAATATATGTCATAAAATATAGATAAGCCAGTATTAAGACAAGGTTCTACTGTACATAAAGTAGGAGAGCAATTTTCTAATGAAACAAAATGAACCTTTTAGAATTACGACATTCTTTTTTATAGATACAAATATTTAAGTAAATGCTCTGATTATAATGAACTGTATTAACGACATTTACTGGCCTGAATGTCCGAGAAATTGTTATAGAAAATTTGCGTCCTCCGACAGGAATCGAACCTTTATCCTATATGGATGTGCTTTTTCCGATTTCAGGCCGGTAAATGTTGTTAATACTGTTTATTATAAACAGAGCATTTACTTAAATATTTGTATCTATAAAAAGAATGTTAAACATAAAAATGTCTTAAAATAATTGCCAGACTTTGTCCATTTCATAATGTGATTCCTAAATATGTAAAAGATTCAAAAGATTTTATTGATTCACCCGTGACAGTTTGTATTGGGCCTTTCTGGTTGAAGCCTATGAATTCAGTATCTTTCTCTGTCTCTCTCTCTGTCTCACTCTCTCTCTCTCTCTCTTTCTCTCTCTGTCTCTCTGTCTGTCTCTCTCTCTCTCTCTCTCTCTACATATATATATATATATATATATATATAATTATTTATTTAAAAATTATAACATAAATATGTTATAAAATCACTACAAAAATAGCCATTTTGTTTCAACACCTCCGGTCTCTTATCAAATATATATATAGACAAAAACTAAAAATCCTTGAAGCATTATACATCAAACAGTTGAAACCCAACCTAAACAAAATCAATTATGGCATCTCTACAAATATTCTTAAATGACTATAATTGGTAACAGAAGCCATTGGTTTATACCAACGGCTTTCCATACTTCTCCAATTCACTCTCGTGTGGTCATGTGTGACGTCATGAGATGCGGTGCGAGTTTCGCTTCTAGCGTCTTATATGCGCGTGTTTATCGTTGCTTAGAAATCATCTATATAAACAATGACAGACTATCATCACTGTCGTGTCTGTATATTGTTTAATATGTTGTAATTGACATCTTTGATAATGGCTTATGTAAGCCGAAAGCTTAGATTGTATTAAAAAAAAATATGGATCAATATTGTGAATTTCTTTCTTCGTTCAACGATAATGTTATTAAACTTATCAGACGTTACGAAAAAAAATTACATAAAATAAATAGACAACACTTGTCTATATTATTTAATAAAACGTGTATAAATATATATATATATATATATATATATATATATATATATATATATATATATATATTCATTGAAATAATTATATATATAATTTGTGTGTGTAATATGATATATGGCATAGTATAAATATAAATTAAATTATATAAAGTGACAGGACCCAAAGAGATGTGCGTTCGATACCTGGTTAAGACAGTGGAGAACTTGATAAATATATTTAAATTAACAGGAGATAACTGATAACTGACATCCATTAGACATGGCACGGGGAACTAGAACAATTTTTATAAACGAGCGAAATATAAGGGTTCAGTTCAACATTACAACCATCTGAAGAAGGCCGGAGTTCTTACAACGGTCGAAACGCAAACATCGAAATATGTCAACAAAGATGAGGATAATAGTTCGGATAATGTAAATAGTGCCTATGAATTCAGTTTCAATTCTTGGCATATAATCAAACATATTTGGACATTTTCTAGATGATGTATATCGAACTGTACGGGTAATGGTATCTCAGTGATACTACGGTCATTTCCATGTTGTTTTTTCATATTTGGAAGTAAAAAAATATAAACAAACTCTTGAATGTCTTGGTGATGAATTAAATATTAGTTGATTTTGTTTGTTGAATATTTCCTCGCATTTCTCAATACATAGTGAAGGGTTTGATAAATAAAAAAAAAATGCAATTATGTTTTTCACCCTTTTGAGGATTTTTATTTGTTGTTATAAGCTGGTTATTTTCATTTTTTTTGACTGTGGAATGTACAGAAAAAATTTTTTGTAAACCTATTGTTATTTTATATTATATTTATCATATATATATATATATATATATATATATATATATATATATATATATATATATATCTATATAACTGATGACATGTCGTAACTCATGGTTGACCTCCCTAAAGCTATTAATCAAACTAAACAGCCATTAAACTTGCATTAATAAATTAACTTCATAGTAAAAAAATTAACTTTCAGATGATTCTTCAGGACGTTTACTGTCTATTTGTCTAAAAAAAACATCCTTTGATAACATTGTGCTTGCATCAAATTTACTTTGAATAAATAATATGTAATTAGAATAATTTTCTCTCTTCCTTTAATAATGGCACCAAAGAGCCTAGTTTGTGAATATGAAAGCATCCAACTGAAAATAAATAACAAAAAGTTGTCTAAATTCATTCAATGAAAATGTTAATATCATTTATATATATATATATATATATATATATATATATATAAAAACATATATATTAAGGCAGGATAAATGTGATTGTTTGTAACGTTTTTTTTTTTTTTTTTCGGCGGAATTGTACCAAAATTTAGAGATATGAAGAATTGAATCCAATTGTTAGAGAAAGGCCAAGACCGACTTTGTATTTCCCAATTTTCCCACCAATAGTGGAAAAATAATCGATTTTTTATACTTGGAACGAAATTTTTCATGTAGTTTACTCAGATATGCCATTGTGTAACTTAGTTAAGTGAGAGCCTATAGCTGACTGCCACGAATATATATAAAGATTCTATTATATATATAGATATATAATGACTATATATATATGTTAATTCAGCATGCTAGCATTAAAAAAAATCGATATCTGCTTTCGTCAAAGTGATCTTAAATCTTTGGCACTTTATTTTAATTGGCTCATTCGCTTGCTTTAATTCAACGTTGATTCTGATTCCGCAGAATTGGGTTAGATGTGAAAAAAAAAATTTGTTGTTAACATTCTTTTTCATTCGGTTTTTTTTGCCGAGTTTTTACGAGTCCTTTTTTAAAGCTGATCGTTTTGTGTTTCATTTTGTTTAGTTCTTTTTTCGTAAAATATTTAATGTTTAGTTTGGAGCTTATTTAAAAATTGCAAACATTGAGATAGGCATAAAGTTTCCCTTTCATGTAGCAACATCAAACACGGCAAATTTCACTCCTTTAAAAACATGCAAGGAAGGGCAAAATTAAATTTTAAGTCAAGTGATCCATAATTTTTCATGTCATAATAGTAATTTTTCACTAATTAAGCATTAATACAAACCATGCTAAATTGTTTATATATATAAATTATATATAAATATATATAAATATATACATATTTATATATATATATATATTAAAGTCCTTAAAGAACAAATTAAAAATCCACTCTCTCTCTCTCTTAAAATTTTATATATATATATATATATAACAGCTTAAATGCGCATTTGATTATTGAACGATGAGATATTAAGTACAACGCCCATTTAAAATATATAAATAATTATACATACTTATATTTATTTATATTTATATACAACTTCATATATATATATATATATATATATATATATATATATATATATATATATATATATATATATATATATATTTTTGTAATTTTATTTAAGTTTGTGTTGTGTTTTATAATAAACAGTATTAAAAAACATTTAAATGCATGAATGTCCGAAAATTTAAATGAAAAATATGTGTTTCCGAAATGAATGGAACTTGTAGCCTGCACGAAAACGAACGTTAACTGAAAAAATGATTTATAACAAAAAAAAAAATCATTTCATGGACACATTTTATTTTTTTTAAATTTTCTCACTTGAAATATTCCAAATATTTTCTCTAGTAAATGCGAAACTGGACGTTCAGAAACTGTGCAGTTAATATTCTATTACACTTTTTAAAAAAACATATTTCGGCTTAATATTTTGTATTTCGTTTTTAAATTTAAAATCGATGAAAAGATATTAATACCTGACGATGAAGGAAAAATTTCTTCAAAATACTTGTAACAGAAACATCTAAATCTACCATTTAATTTTAAAAAAAAATGATCACGTCATTCAGACAGAACTGTTCGGAAGTTAATATTTTATTGAAATAGTTAGCGAAAGTCATTTTTCGCCATTAATTACATTAACTTTAAAATTAATTCTTTGTTCGATTCATTTTTTATAATATATATATATATATTTATATATATATATATATATATTTGAAAAAAAGACAGACCACGTTAAGATTCCATGTAATTCGTCTTATTTCACCATAACCCCTTTAACAGGGTTCTGGATCATCAGAAGGAATAGGGCAAAATATATATATATATATATATATATATATATATATTTATATGTGTGTGTTTGTGTGTGTGTATGTATGTAGTATGTGTATGTGTGAATAACAATTTGTTTGTTGAAAAAAAAAAATACACAAAACAATGATTCTTAATATATATATATATATATATATATATATATATATATATATATATATGTATATAATGTGTGTGTGTGTGTGTGTGTGTGTGGATAAAAATTTTTTTCTTTTTTTTTATGAATTAACAACAATGAAATAAAAATTATATATAAATCAACTGAGTGTGTGTGTGTGTTAACGGTTTGTGTAAATGGATAGATAATAATGAAATGTATAATTTGTATAACGGAACAATGGAAGAATGTGATTCATCACTATGCTGAGGTCGAATTCTAATCGAGTTCTTTGCATTCAGTTACGCGCAAATAAACTCATATTTGAAGTGATGCATCCGATTCTTTACTTCGACTATGAGTAAATAGCAGGGCAGACTGGGTCCTTATAGCCTTGGTTGGCAACCACTCTAAGAGAAGGAAACTCCTAAATTCAAAACCTAATGAGGGTCGTTTGAAGACCTTGTCACACATTGTTTGCTCTAGTTATTTGTATTCGATTCTTCCGATAATTTTGCTTGGCTCTGAACAGACACCATGATAATCGAATTATATTTACGTATAATCTGTGTGTTCAGTTCTAAACACTGCGCGACTGGACGCTCATAATTTAGAAAATATTTTTATTTGATATAAATATGTTCTTTGTCCCTTACGAAGCATTTTTCGTTATTTCAATGTGTCTTTGAATTTCTGAATCGCATTTTCCATTGTCTGTCATAACACTTAGGACAAAAAAATTTGAATGCAATCTTTCATTTATTTTTTTTCAATATCCTTTCAGGACGTAGGCGATCATGGCTTAATACTTCCCCTATATAGGCTTTGTAGCTCTCAATAAGTTTTGTCCATTTGCTATCACCCCAGGCTATGTTCTGCCATCCATTGTTTAAGCCTTTCATATATCATTTATTGCTTTCGTTGTAAAATTTTTTCTATATTCGACCTGTGAGTATCAGATTCTCTAGGCCCTCCTTTTCTCATTACGTGTCCCAGAAATTTCAACTTTCCTGATGTTAAGTATAAGCTTCCTCTTTGTTTACATCCTCTCCAAATGGTTGCTCACACGCTCGGTCCATGATATCCTTAGCATGTTACAAATTCATGACGGTCGTCTTCGAGTATAGAATCCAGAGGTTAGCA